ATTAAGTTGATGGTAAGTAATGCATGTTTTATTTAACTTGCTCAAGTATGTCCGGTTTTATGTAAAAGGCAGCTGATGCAAGGATTCGACGATGAATGATTCTAATGGACGCTTCCGCAGGCTATGGGACCGATAGCATACAGTTTGTTTCTAAGACAAGGTTTGATCGATTTATATATCGCCTTCGGAAATGAACCATAACTTGCGTCACGTGTTTCATGTGCTTCAGGCTAAAAACACTTCGGTTTAACTCTGAAACCAGTATTAATGTAGTTCGCAGATCTTGTCATCTGAGACATCATATTTGAGGGGAAATTTAAGCTACTTCTCTTGATTTTGTTGACAAAACAGTTGCTGGTGCATTGTAAGATACCTACGCTTACCATTACTCTCCGTACTTCCCTCGTTATTCGCATTTGTCTATTGGCTTCTCTTATAGTTTGAGGTACACAAAAGCGCACACTAAAACTCCATCGTGCTACTTGCCCTCCCTTTTATTTCTGAATTGGATGCCCTAAAATCTGCACTACGCTCCACCGGGTTAAGTTGCGAAATGTTATCAAAAATTGTGATTAACATCTCAGCACTTCGGATAAGTGGTAAAACCACGGTGCGGCATTATAAGACAATAGAAGTGAAATATATTTTCATGGTTTGTTGAGGCAAACATTAGTCAATATGTCCTATCAATTCAAATGCGGGCTTCATAGTTGCTGGGCTCCCAACAAACATCATACGTATGCACGTCTGGATGTAAAAATGAACTGCAATGAATTTTTCGCGAGTGACGTTTGAGACCAAAACACGCTTTCGTGCATCGAAAAATACCCCTACGAATCCACTACTTTAGGTATTGTTGGTTACGTGGTTTGAAGGATACGCACACATGACTCTTGTTTGAACAATCTTATTGATTTCCCGGGGGCAGTCATTCTGCTAAGTCCACGCCAAAGGGAAATGAAGCTCTGGACTCGAGTATCGCTTTATGTCTGAGCTCATTAGTGCCGCATTTAAAACGGCGAACATTTGACATGCGATGCAGGCGTGTTACCACTGTTCCACCAGCGCACGCCCGACAAATGCAAATGTGTTAGTCTAAACAGGTGAAACTATTCGCGCTTGAGTGATGTGAGCGGAAAGCCTAACATTTGGACTGACGACCTGGTAGCATACGGTAGTTGTGTAGATCGATTTGCTCCTTACTACTTTTCTTTAGCATCGCGTTTGGCGATTGGCTGGCTAGGGTTCAGAGTTTATGGTAGATGTCTCTCCTGAACGAAAATATTTGTTCAGTCTCACATCACTCTCGTTTTGAACAGTCGTCCTCCTGTCCTGGCGCAATTATTCATGTGAATCCAAACAACCCAAACAGTAGTAACGAACTTTCAGTTTTGGAGCATTTCAAAAGCGTGGAATTTCACCGGTTTGGATCTGTTTGGTATAAAATCTTTTGAAAGATATCATCAGCCCAAAGATGAAATTTTCATGAACATCCTCACCAGAAATAGCAGCATTTGCGTCGGCACGAACGTTTCAAATATTAGGAGAGTGTCCCATGCTTACTCCATATCGGCAAGGTATATACCGGAATGAGTGGATATATTTGCGGGAAAAACATCGGCCGGTATAAAAGCCTTGAAGCACTTGCTTTACAATTTCACCATACCAGGGCACTTTGAGTATAGACGTGTAAATTTTATCACCCTTTCAAGAAGTCGAGTGTTTAAGATGCGACGCACAGCTGGCACTGATCAACAGAAGTCGCCAAATATCAAGATCGTGAGTTGTCGATAGATTTGGCTTCTCCGTAACATCTGACTGGATTTAGTAAACGCAAATTTATCCAATTAGAAATCCAACTTTTTGTTTGCTGATGAGTTTTGGTTGTGCGCACAACCACTAGCCCACCGCTAAGCACAACTACACACTGATGATGTCACCTCGATTGGTGATGAAACATTTGCAACCAAATTGCCCAGCTCAGCGAACAAGCCATCGACCAGAGTTCTCTTGGTGGATATTAAACCTGTATACCTCAGTGCGTTTACTAAAGTGCTCAAATCTGCCATGCGTAAGCAAAGTGTTAGTAAACCATGTTCAAGGACTTAAAAGTTCAAGTTAACTTCATTTAGAGCTCACCTTTCTAAAGCTCATTTTATTTCTGAGGCAGTCCTCAGTTTCTAAGGAGAAAGAATCACCCGAAAAACTTTCAGACATGATAAACGTTTTCTGCGGGTTTCAAGCAGTGCAGTATCTCTACATTAATTAGTTAAACCCTGAACAAAACAATCGAGTAAATAAAGGATAGGAGCTATTCGTTTTGAATGAACCATTAGTTAAACGCGCCGTTTTAATTCTACATAGAGAACGAAGAAGAATCCAGTAACCAGGTTTTGCAAAATTTTGCGCATTTACTTTTCCAGGTTCTGCTGGAAAAATAGACAGTAATTAAGGCTCCACATGTTGACGCTCGCTAGCTGTCTGCCGATCAACATTTTTGAAAAACCCCACCAAAGGGCAAATGTCAGTTGACAGAACACCATATGACCAGATTTCATGATGTAATATCCACTCAGCCAGATGGGCGCTCGCAACTTAAATACAGAGACGGCCCCAAGTAAACTGCACAAATACGAAATGAGTTCGAGGAGTCTACGAACACAGGCTAACGAAGAAACGGAGTTGACTAGCAAAGATTGCAACTTTGAATAATGCAAGACAAATTGCTGTCATTCCGTGATCCATCAAATGAATATGACGAATCATCACCAGCCCCATCAGGGGATATTACCAGTGACTCGCGTGACACAGGTATATCTGCGGAAGAAGGTGGCTACAGTGCCTCTCGCTGCGTACTTGTCCGAATGCTGTGGACGCCGTAACTACCCATAAATTTGGTTCAAGCTGTAAAATTTTCTTGAAAAACGGAGTGAGCCCTCCAAAAATATTTTGCTCTGAAAGGAAACCTCATTCGGAGGTTGAGGACTGGAAGCACCAGGTTGAATACGAATGCATATACACGCGCCACACATTTGCAATAATCCGGGCTCATCCGTCGATCAAAATGCACTGACTTCGTGATCCTTTCAGGCGATTTGAAAGTTCGAGTAGTTTGTCTTTTGGAATCACATTTTGGCCGTCGAGCCACACAGACAACAAAGATCGACCCTTTCAATCGAGTGCTGCTAATGGCCTGTTTCTGGAAAGTAGGAGCTTTCAACGTAAACTTTCGCACAGCGTAACTTCGCGGCCACCAACTGCGAAGCATTTGGGGACCCGGTTAGATCACGTAGCCATCAGCCATCGGTGGAGAGCCACAATTCAAGACTGCCGTTCCCTCTGGCGTACACCACTTGATTCCGATCACGGCATGGTGCGTGCACCCCTGACTGTTTGTTTCCCTTTAGGCTATCAATAGTCAGCAAGAAGTATGCAAATCTACTGTCTTTTAAGAACTACTATGCCCCGACAGTATCGATCTGGTCTACCCCAACAATTTCCAACCAATACTGCGGTGCCATTGAGCATGTGGGTGAAACATGGCAAAATGTGAAAGGGGCTATGCTAGCGGCATTCAGTGCTGCCTGCCCGACTTCTCCAATTTGACCACAAGACCACTGGATGTCGTCGAGTTCGCTAGCCTTGACTGATGTCAGGAAAGCCATGCCAACAGGCAACGAGTACGATGGCGCACGCAAATCCCTCAAACGCCAAAGAGTGAAGGGTCTAAGGAAACACCGATGTCTGTGGTGGAAATCGAAATCATGGGAGAAGCGCAAGGCTTTTGCTACCGGAAACAGCCGCTCCTCATATCAACTGATAAAATCGACTGGTCACAGGAAAGCAACGGTCAGTGAAACTATAAGTGAGAAACATGGTTCATTAATTTGCTCGCAAAAACGTCAACTGGAAAGATGGGCCGAGCACATCGAAGAGCAGTTCAGTTGGCTTCCCGCAACTCAGTGTGTGGAAATAATGCGTACAGGCGAAAAAAGGAGTAAGGTACAAAATAGCCCTACTGAAACGAGAAAATGCGACTAAAGCGGACGGTCTCTATCCAGCCCTCTTCAAAGAAAGCGGAAAATCCCTGGTGACGAATCTGACGAGGCCTATTGGTACCATATGGAACGATGAGAAGGTGCCTGAAAAATGGGGCATGTCGACAGTTGTCCCTATCTTCAAACGGGTGCGCGGACGTGGTGTGAAAACCATCGCGGGACCAGCATCGAAAGTGCCCTCTTCCTCATCCTTCGAGGGTTGGCTGAACACAGGGACAGTCAGATCCATGAAAACCAAGCTGGGTTCCGTCCTGCAAGAGGTTGCATCGATTATGTCTTCACCTTCTGGCAGATTCTGGAGAAGAAACGCTGCTTACAGCAGTCAACATTACTTGTGTTTCCGGATTTAAAAGTTGGTTTTTAATGTGTGGACCACCAGGCACTATGGCAGTGTCTGTGGAGCAAAGGTGTGACGAAGCTTATTTGTACCATATGGAACGAAGAGAAGGTGCCTGAAAAATGGGGCGTGTCGACAGTTGTCCCTATCTTTAAACGGGTACGCGGACGTGGTGTGAAAACCACCGAGGGACCAGCATCGAAAGTGCTCTCTGGCCTCATCCTTCGAGGGTTGGCTGAACACAGGGACAGTCAGATCCATGAAAACCAAGCTGGGTTCCGTCCTGCAAGAGGTTGCATCGATTATGTCTTCACCTTCTGGCAGATTCTGGAGAAGAAACGCTGCTTACAGCAGTCAACATTACTTGTGTTTCCGGATTTAAAAGTTGGTTTTTAATGTGTGGACCACCAGGCACTATGGCAGTGTCTGTGGAGCAAAGGTGTCCCCCACAAATTTTTCACCCTCCTTTGGGCGCCATTGGCCAACGCCTGCGGCCATGTGAAAGTCTGCGAGAAGCTCTCTCGACGGAGTTCACCACATCAAATGGTGTCTAACAGGGCTGTCCTCTTTCACCTTCCCTCTTCGAATTCGTCATTGATACGATCATGGAAGACTCACTACCAGCCTCCAATGCCTGTGGGCCAACAGTGCGCACGGATCGTCCGCTCACAGATGCCGAGTACGCAGACGACATAGATTTTCTTAGGTAAGACCCCGTGGTAGCGCAAAGGATATTAAATGCTCTGAGTAATTCTGCCTCACTGTTTGTCATGAGCTTCACACCTGCAAAGTGTAAACTGCTACCGCAAGACTGGGTGGACTCGACCCTAGCCTCATCCTTGCGGATGAACCAATTAAGGAAGTAGAGAAAGTTGTTTACCTGAGCAGCTGTACGGGCATCTAGCGTGAAATGTGCATGTAGGCAGTAAGTTGTCAGCATATTAACCAGGATTTTATCTTGGAGATGTAGGCGTTCGGACGACTATTAGTTCGCGTGATTGAGCTATACCTCTATCTGACGTAGTGATATGAGATCTAGACTCATTTATTTCTTCCATTTTCTTTGGTTTTTAGCTGCATCAACGCTTCGGATTGAGCTATTAAGTTAACCGCCAAGTTATACACTGACAGCTTGCGTGCATTTTTGAATTAGCAAGATTGTGTAAACGCTAAGCTCAAGCGTATTAACCACGCTACTTTATCTGCGAAAATTTTGAACTTGGTGGCGTCCGTTCGTTTCTGACATGAAATCACTTCATACTCCACAAGATGAAACTCAAGCCTCACATGTAAATTTAATTTTTGTACTGCGACATGAGTGGAGTCTTAGCCAGGTCTAAATTTTCTCCAATAACTGGGGCAAATGCAGATGCACTTGTTTCATAGCGTTCACCCATTGATGAATGTGGTCTACTGGGAGACGTCTGCTTTGTTGTAAGACCGAAGTATTGTGGGGACCACCATATGCATTTGATCCATTCTTTGAGATTTTTCATGGCTATCGAATCCACATTGTCCATTTTCTCCCCTCCTTTCATCTTGATGCAGTAAGATACAGGGTGTCGAGTGCACACCAGTTGCCTGACCTCTCAATGTCAGAGATAGCTAAACACTAACTGCCTGTGAGTTGCGCTTTCTCGCACTGCACGACGTTGGTAAGCCATTCTAACAGATTCTTGTGTGAAAGGAAGATCATCACCCATTTAGAAGGAACTGTTTACATGTGACTCAGCGTCGATAAGCGTAAAGAAATTGGCAGTCATTTAAGTTCACAGAAAACTTTTGACTGTATGGTGCGGGAGCGCCTGTTCCTTGTCAACTTTCACGCGTGTGTGTAGAAAGAATGAAAAGCGTGACAGCATGACTGACACCCGAACATTGGCATATTGCCGAGTTTCATCCATGAAGATCAATGAAGGTAATGAAACAATGATAATCATCGCCTAGTTTATATTTGCGGTGTAGCATATGTAGCTTGATTTCACCGCCAAATGCAATGACAGATTCATCAACGCGACCCATGGAAACATCGTGGTTGTGGATTCACATGAGTTCTTATCAGGCTTTTCTACACAATAGCCATGGTAGAAACACTTCGCCGATGCATCCAGACCAAATGCAATGGCAGATTCATCAACACAACCCATGGAAACATCGTGGTTGTGGGTTTTCATAGGTTCTTATTAGGCTTTTCTACACAATAGTTATGGTAGAAACACTTCGCCGATGCATCCAGCCCTTTTTTTCTTCGGAGAGAATACAGCTAACCCACAGTGAGTACTTTGCAGCAACTGGAACCTATGCGATATGAAACCTTAACTCAGCCATATGGAAGGTTTTAGGGTTCAAGGCGTACGAAAGTGTGAACTCAGGAATAATGGTCCCAAATGCCCTGATGATTCCTCCAGCTTTAGTTGTAATATGGCCAATAACATGTTATATTTTAAACCGCAGTTTCACGAGGTTTTGTCAACCGTGCACAGGTAACTTCTGTAACAGGGCTGGTTCTAAATAGACGAATAAGTGGTGTTCCAGCTGAATGAACATCGGCGGCTGAGCTAATGTAATTTTCCCTATTTTTACTGTTGTTCCATCTTTGACTTTGCTACGCCAGACATCCGATGGCGCGAAAAATACGGACATTTTGCAGCATCCCCAATCTTTTGAATTAGCCGGTGCAGATTTTGACTGGAAAATGTTTGTTTGAGTATCAAATACGCTAGTCCAGCCTCCTTGAATCGCCTTATGCGCGCACCATCAGGCAAGAAATGTAGCTAAATTCTATTAACACATGAGATTACTGCATCTCCAGAGTTAAATACCTTGTTGGGCGTAACCATTTGCCTATCATTCTTGAAAATGTCGGGCGGAGACTGCCAACGACCGTTTGATTAAGACCCGGGATTAAAAATTGTAACACTTTATGCAAGTTGTTCATCGCCTTGGTGCACAATCTTCAGAACAAGTGGAATGTTGACGAATAAGTTTATACTTATTTATACAACGGTCAAAAGGTTGAGAGTCATTTGATAGTTTTAAAAGGTTATACTTTTAAGTGGGAAATGATATCAGTCACCCTGCAAGTATAAACAAATGTAAACAAAACGGTCAGACAAATAAATTATTTTCGAATTCGTAAGGCAATAGCAAGTTAGCATTGTCAATGCAAGTGCAACATTTTCCCAATGTTAACGATACTTGCTACGTTTACCTATGTTCAATCAATCTTAGGATCAGAAACTCACCACCCGCCACAAAAATCGTGCTGCACATTTCTAGAGGGTAAATGAAAAAATGGAAGACTGCGTGAATCTTACTGATAAAGTAGAACAGGCGTGGTCCTAATAATTATTTTTTGTGTAGACTTTTTGGGTAGCCCCGCGCACGTGCAAATGCAAAATAAAAAACCTTATCGTTTTAGTTTTCGCCACGGTGGACTTGTTAGTCGTTACTCTAGGCCCAGTGCAAATAATTGCTGAGTGAATTTGTCGGGAAAAATCTATCGAGATTGGACAACCGAGAGGAACTAACGGGGATTCACCAATGCCGAAAAAAAGGGCAGGCCGTATCCTTCGGCAACGTATGCAAACATTTGACACTTGGATTATTGAAAACAAACTGCCTTAAACTCCGAACACCAGCGCTCATGGTATCAAATTTATTCCCCATTCACAAGTTACGCTTGTGCCAGGGATGAAATCTTCATTTTTGTGGCCATATTCAGACAACGCTCAACTCACTCGGAAAATCCGCATATCTCGTCGGCCATGCTGAAAATTAACAAATTTGTGATGACAAGAGAAGTTAAAAACTTTGGATGCCTTAGATGCAAATGCGCAGTTTTAATTTCATAGACGATTATAAGTGTCTTGCATCCACTTCGTGTTTATGCATGGCCGTCAGCGTCTTCTTGAGAATGAAAGCTAAATAGTAACTTGCAACAACATATCCCACTTGACGAATTTAATGGACTCACCTATGCACTGATCATACGCCATCTTCCAGCACTGCACTACAAAAAACGATTTTGAAGAACCAGAAAGATAGTTTCCTTTTTAAACAACCAGCTATAATAATCTGGAATTTTTCGTTCCCAAATGTAGTTTTGTTTTCACACATTGCATTTCGGCTCACGCACTTAAAACCACTGTGCCCCACTTTTGTTTGCCTTGTGGCGATGAAAACAATGATGTGGAATCCGTAAAAGGTACTTCAGACATTATTGACGGACGTATTCCTCGATCCGCTTGCCTAACTAGCAGGATAAAAGTGAATTGACGCCTGAAGTCTGAACGCCGCCATGATAATTAATGTGTAACCCATTTATGAGCTGACTATGGTGCTGTCTCTATTTTAGGGAAGCTACCTCTCAGTGCACAGGGTTCCAAAAAGTGAAGCCAATTTGTGCTGAAAAGCTGAGAGGTATTTTGGTGCTGTTCCATTCTCGTTAGGAGTCATCGGCGTTGTATATCACACGAAACCGAATAGAAACCCGTGACCGCAGTGTGGGTAATTTGAACTCGTAAATTTTCTCCACGATGTTTGGCTAATCAGCGTTAATATTTGCCTCCAAGCGATCCAGGTATACCACCGCTCATCGTTCAATCGCAGGACCCACATCACCGGACTATCCATCCTGAACTTCTACTTGAATGACTGCTGTGCTGTGGTGATGTTTATGCTCTCAGTGATGCCCAATTGAGCGGAAGCTGTCCAACGTCGCTTGATGACATTTTGAAATTAAGAGAACGACGGAACCCCAAAATTTTTTAATAATTGATGCTGTATGTCGAATGGTTAAATAAAGGTTATTTCTCAGAATATCGAAATGGCGCTTTTGCACTGGTGTTGCGAATTTGAGTTTACGTTCTTATTGCCAACATAAATCAGAAATTCACATGTTGACATTTTGCACTCCAGCAATGAGCGTGGTGCCGAGCGTCATGGAGGCAACTGTAGTGTCACTCATCAATACAAGCATGTTTTGGCCTTATGCATTACGCCGTCAATAAATTATATAGCTGCTTAGCTCCACCATTGAGCGTGGTGTCGAGCGTCATGGGGGCAACCGTAGTGTCACTCATCAATACGAACATGTTTTAGCCTTATGTAGTACGCCGTCAATAAATTATATAGCTGCTTAATCAGCACATGCATCCCAAGAGACATTCATCTGAACATTCCGCTGCACTGTGGTTTTTGACCGAAAACCTTTATTCGAACCTGACCCGAAAACACTGGAAGTTAAGCAGCAATATTGTTGATGTTAATGACCCGCACAGTAGTTGTTACCAAACTTGAGCGAACGTAGGAGGAGGGGGAAATTCTTCTTGATACACAGCGGATGAATGAACAACAGACTAATTAATGTCAACTAAGAATACCGTACATTTTGCTTGTGGATTTTGTGGGTACAGGGCTAAAATGCAAAACAAGACGCTCTAAGTTTTTTTGGGGCATTTAATTAGTGGTGTGATGTAACGATGCAGAGACCATATTTACCGAATTTTTACCAAACAGTTACGACAGCGCCTGACCTCCACAAATATGTCCACGTTACATGGCGCGTTTTATATAATCAAGTTTCCCGTGGACTCATAAACCACCGAGAACTTTGTTTGGTTATCGATTGGCAAGATAATTTAGCATTTTGGATAACGCCCATTGAAAATTACACGCACGCGGTGTTGTTGTACCCCTTAGTCGTGAAATAGTTTTTGCCTTAAAATGAACTTGTTAGCGTTGGGGTTACTGGGGTGCATAAAACATTTTTGAACGCTTGGCGGTATGAAAGAACCTTCAGAAGAGTAAGTGGGACCACCGTTTGAATAGCGCTGCAAAGTTTACTGGATTATCCGCAATATTCAGTTGGATTTTCATTGAAGGGGTATATATTTAGACATTTTGCAATATATAACATATTACCGACTCAACCACGTATTACCTGACCAAACACAAAGACAACCAAATAAAACAAACCTCAGACTAAGGAAGTAAACTTTTATCAAAGAATAACCTGATTTCACAGCTAAACTTTGCCATTTCAGATGATTCCGGAAACTCCACAAGGTAGAGAAATGGTTGCAGGCAAATTGGGTGTTGATTATTGCTTACCCGCACAACGTTGCTTTTCATCCACGCTACACATAACTGTCAAGAGCATATTAGCATATAATATTGCCCAACGTGTTTTGTATTTTTTTTGAATAACAAAGGGGTCCAAAGAAAAGTTTGCACTTAAAGAGAAAATAGTTTATCGCGTGTCGGATATGGCGTATACAAGTAAATATAGCAATATAATATATGTCATGAAGAAAACGTACCCAAACACAAGTAAGTGTCTAGGGCTAAAATATACTAAAATAGTAAATATGGTGACGATACGTGGTTCATCTAAAGACAGGAAACCGTACAACGTTTTGGGCTGCTCTTTTTTGCATTAGGGTATGTCATGAGTACAAGCAGTGGTTTCAAGCCAAAACTGTCATTTGTACGAATATGTCAAATAATCAGCTCTTATATGATTGGAAAATAGTTTTAGTTTGCGCCCCAAAGTTCGGAATTGAGACGAGTCCATGAGAACAATTCTCAAAGAGCGTGAGATTCTAAGCCGCTGAAACTGGAAAGTGCTACAATTTGAACAGAAAATGCAAATTTATCGTGTCTATGATAGTTACTCAAGCGAATCAGCAGTTTTTCTAAGACTTCCCTGCGAAGTTCACAGTGCTTCAAATAAAATCGATTTACTACCGCAAACGCCACCAAAATAGTGTTGACCTAACTTTACAACCAAGGCAGAAAATTTCAACTTCTTTTGTAAAAAATCACTAGACACTTACGTTTCTCCATGCAGCCTCCTGTTTACATGAATAGATACGTGCAATTTCTACACTGAATTAACGGAAAGCTGTGTCATGTTAAAGTGGCAAAATATCAATTATAGTCTGGGGGATTTGCAATAACGCCGTTGGTAAAAAATGCTATGCTGTGTTACCAGTATCTGCACCATCAAATGTAACGTATCGAATGCAGATGAAGATATTTTTTGTGTTATCCTTTAGCTTGTGCTTTTTCACAACCCGTTTCGTTTGCAAAATTATGTCCATGAGAACAAGATCTCTGTCGCCTCGACTGAGGCCTAAGCATATAAATAGACTGCGCTCCCAGTGCAGTATGATTCCATCTGATTGTATTGCATTCATACGTTAGTATAAATTTGCACATTTTAGATGAATATAAAGGTTAGTTTCGTGGATGCATGGATTTGGTAGTAATGGGCTACGGACTAAACTGCTGTATGGGGCGATGCCACCAAATGCTTGATGGAACAGGGGCAATACTTTCTGGCACGATTAGAATACCCATTTCATCTATTTGATATTACGCATTAATATTTTTCAACAACCACAATGTATGCATGACTAACTGAACCAGGTTTACCCACTTACTCATGCAGGTCCGATATTCGGTTATATTCTGTGAAGTGACTTCATTTACTGAAACGAAACGTTTGTTTGAGAAACGGAACTGGTAAAATTAAAACGGTTCTTCATTTCAGTCGTTTAGTAGCACACACAAACAAGCCAACAGACACGAAAGAAACTATCTCGTCTGCACAGATGTCGAAGAGCCGACACATTTGTGCGTCCTGTTGAGTTTTACTGAACGCCATTTGAGCAGTGAAATAGATGTGGAAATGCTGTGAATCGGTGCCGCATATTTCATAGTAACAATAATCGCATTTTGTGAAACGCGGACCAGATAACACTCAAGTGCCATTGTCATTTGTATACCCATATACCAAACTTATAAAATCTCTATATATTTTCGTTGTTCTACACACTTACTTAGAAGGACAGCAATGAAGCTGGTGAATTGCCTCATCCAGTTTTTGAACGACTATTGCACAATAACACACGATAACTAAAAAACTCAGGACGTTCGTATTTATATGCCTGAAGATGACCTTGAGACATTTGATGAACGGATGCTTTCGTCAGGTATAACGTGTCCCCATTGTAATGGATCACAGTCTTGTTGTGTGTTAGACAAGGTTGAATTTCGGAATATATAATTCACTTTTTGAATGGAAACACTTACAAAAAAGGACGACGTGCCCTTGACCATATAGCGTAGCACTTGTTGGCTGTGAAGTATCATTTTCGCTACATAAATATATTCAATGAGTGAAATTTCTGAAATATATTCTTCTTTTCTGCTTGTATATTACACGAAATGTTTGTAAAGTTTCTTCTGGTCAGCAGGTCCCCCAAGTTGAGCCTTTGAGCTCTGATTTTCTCAGTGCATTTCTTAAGCAGGTAGATATAGGAAAAAAAGAAAGAATTGCGTTAGCAGCGTAGTCGTTGATAGACTGCCCCGAACCTCCTACAGAGAATTGTAAAAACCTGCCGGGAAAGTCCTGTTTAAGGCATTTCGTTTTACGAATGAAAAATTCCCGCAACACGAAGCTGAAAGTCAGTGCAGATCTTTTTCGAAAGGCAAACAACTTGTCGCACGTTTATTTCTCCAAAGTTTAATTTGGCGCCACCGGAAGGTGCTCTGATGTGCACCAATGGGAAGTTTGTCAACACAATGTTTTGGATAAACGTGCTGCCGTCCAAAATAATTCCTGCGTAGATAACCCGAATTCCGGATCCTGCTTTAGTAAGGATATATTATGAAAACCATAAAACCTCCTTTTGGATTCACACAATGTCTCTATTTGGGAGTGGCAAACGACAAGCTCTGGATCGGACAAACGCTGACTGAGGACTTGCAATTCTGATATCTAAGGTTTTATTACCAGCCGTAAAAATTTAGACACATCAAGGATTCGTAGTCAACTTGCAAACTGAAATTCTCGCACGCTTTCTGGTATCGTGGGAATTGTTCATGATTCCACGTTCTGGCAAAATAATCAACAAGGTTATGTTGTGTACTTCTAGCTACCCAGTGACAAAACCTACTGAGCTTTCCAAGATTTGTTACAAGATTGTTATATTTTTGAGGAATTAGCTGGGTGAAATCACAATGCGAGGAACGCCGACTTCATCCAGTGTCATCTAACAGTAAATTGTCAATGCATGTGCAATTCTCAAGGACAGTGACGGTGCCATTGTTTTGGTGTGCCAAAGAGAAAAAAGCGAACTAGTCAAACGTAAATACTATGGGGTAAAAAGCCAACTGAAAATCGTTGATAGGAAATACTATTCTAGCTTTTACGATAGAATCCCGCCGCACATCTGGATTTGAAATAAATTTGCCTCCACGACAACTCAGTGCTGGGAAAATATTGAAGAAACACATGGATTTTGTTTAGGAAAAATATCACCGGGTGATTCTTGGAGTGCATTTTCCACTGCACACGTAATGCGTTTATTCATTTTCGGGAAAGTGGGAAATTATGTCTTATTAGGACGGTTTTAAAAAACAGGGACAATATTGAATAAAAATACATTAAGTGTTACTTAATCCAACTTTAATATTTGCGCCCAACTGGCGCAAAGAGTGTTGTTGGTTGCATGTATTTGTTTCGACCATGTTATAATATGTTACTCAGTTTTTCTCCCTTATCGCCTGATATTTTCCCATTCATTTGATTTCATTTACACATGAGCATCAATGATTATGAAATTTCTTTAAACTCTGTTCGTGAGAATTTGTACCTATCTGTAACTTGGTGCTTATGGAACAAAGTCTAATCTGAATTTGGGCGATAAATTTCGATTGTTGAGGACCCGCGAGACCACACCTAATAAAGCATGTGGGCACAAATATTGGGTGATCCAAATAGAAGTGCGACATAATTGACACTATCTTCATAAAATGGAGGTTAGCCGAGCCAAATTTCAAATCTTGCCTATTCTTTTCATACCGTCCACGACAATCACAAAATACGAAGCAGTGGAATTAAGCACTGCCTAGTGTATAATGTGAACCATGCACAAAAATCGATTTGGGATCTAAAGCACACATGTGTGATTCTACCCATGTCTGCGCGCTATTCAGCTCGGTTTTCGAAAACATCGGACTGACAGGGAAGTGAGACAAAGATGCTAATATTTGCATCTTCGCAAAACAGTCGTGGTTGAAAATTTACGAAGCGGACAATCTATTGTTTTGCTTGACTACGGCGGACGGATCTCTGGATAAAAATGGCGGCAGACGTTGTAATGGAGTTTGATTCCGTCACCTTGTAGGTCACGAGAGGTTTTGGGAACACGAAATCTAGAAGTTCTAGTCCGCAAAATGTAGAGCAAATATGGGTGTATTGGTTAAAATCCTTGAGAACTTAAGGCCCACTTGCACCCGCCGTGCAAATTGAAAGTAGACGAAATATTCCACACAAGTACCGCAGCGTTTTAGTGGCGTTTTCTGAAGCTTTAAGGGTGACGGCTACCGGTAATTTTCTTTCTGATATTATCAGTAGCTTATTCCAACAGAAGGCCACTTTTAAAATTTCGTTTATTCAGTGGCAAGGTGCATCGCTTGTTTTAGTGTCCTGTAAAACGGCCGCCCTGTGCGTCCTCAACGCCGTCTTTCTATCACAGAAAGCTCACTGGAGCAGCTGATCTAGATTCCAAAGTTTTGAAAGCCACTAAAAATAATCAACGTAAGAAGTTTCGAGGTCTTCTCAACTTATCTTGTAGCAGGTCTGAGATCATATGTTGACCAATGTTAGGCCACGCTGCAATGCTGAGTAGCGAATTGGCACTTGCCCCGGTGTTATGATGTCGCCACGAGGAATCAGTCTCCGTAAATTGATTTGGCTTACAAAGGGAATGATAATATGCTTAAACCAAAGATTGTGAGGTTTACTTCATGCAGTTGCGGGTTCGCGATGTTGGTTTAAGTTTTAAGGCTCTCTAAAAAGCGTTTTGTGGAGCACGCGGAGAAAACTCAAATGGACTTCTCCACTGAAACATGCATTCCGTAAATACCGAGAAACAGACGGTGCACGCCGATCTTTATTTTTGATTGATTTTTTATACACACAACTATATCCAGACACGTTTCTTGCCGGAACAAGTTTCCATGTCTCGACTTGAGGCCTTCCCAAAATGACCACTTCGGCTTGATGCCTTCTCTTTAACGGAGAAGCAGTTAGATGTACCCAAGCCCGTTAGCTTCTCCGTGGACTATCAATTTCTTGTTACGTTTTGTGTGATGCAATATTAGCTCGATACCATCAGCGATAACAGGATGAATCCACATATGTTACCACAGAAATATTAGAGATTTGAACAAATGTTTTTCAGAAATTTGGGTGAATCCTAGACAAAATGCCATATGCAGAGTTCATCAGTGTGGTTTAACAAGCAACCCGAAAAACAGGCGCTATAGGCCCAAAGAGTAGTCTTGCAGAAATCCAGGTTTACAAGCACCAAGCACAACACTTAGTGCATTTAAAAATCACTCTTACGCAGCAAGATGTCTAACACACCGAAATTTTGCCGTTTAGAAGAAGATGGACTGTCGTAAAACACATTCACCTTCGGGAGAATAGAAAACAGTGCATTTTTTCCAACACACCCTAACCAGGAAAAAATTGGTGAATGCACGATAGTAAGCGGGGTGAAATTTCCCCACGTAGTTTTCGTCTTTTGGTACCACTGAGACACTCGATCGAAAAAAACCAACATTATTAGACAAACTATGCAAAGTTTGCTTAAGAGACAAACGTCTGACCTCCTAAGAGGAGTGGATGGCTACTTCGTTTCGACGCTTGCGCAGAGGAAAAAGCAAGTGCTTGTGGCAGTCACCCCCTTGTTCCTCTTAACAAGTTTGCTTATCCGACCTCCTAAGAGGGGTGGTTGGCTACTTCATTTCGACGCTTGCGCAGAGGAGAAAACAAGTGCTTGTGGCAGTCACTCCCTTGTTCCTCTTAACAAGTTTGCTTATTTTATTCCAGTACACTTGCACTTCGGGTTCTGTATGCTTCTGAAACCTCAAGTGACACAATAAATTTTTTCACGCTTGCAACCTTGACGGAAACTACACTGCAATTTATCGTGTCCGCATCTACTCACTGGAACCAGTGCCAGTTGTCTTTAAAGCGATAACTGGGGTTTCTGAACGATTGGATGCGTTTTATGCGAGCATTAAACAAGGTGCACTAAAATAAATATACAATCACCGTCCCTCTAGAGCCGGAAAATTATTACAGGGCTATAGTGAAGCGAAAATATTTCTTGTTTTTTTTGGAGAATGTTGAAGAAACAAGCACTGGATTGATTTTCATATCGAAACATGCTGAAAGCGCGCTCTTCGCAGTAAAGGTAAGATATCTGTTTTTATTTTATCCAGAGTTATTATGCGACCTCCAGCACCCTTCGTAATACATGAAATGACCGTGAAATAAATCAATTTCACGTTGGTTTAAAACTTCAGGATCCGACAAAAGCTGATTTTGCTGGCAAATGTTCTTACAATTTCATACTTTAAGATATCTGTTTCTTGTTTTTTTCAGAATTCACAAAAAAAACGTTTTTTCTAGCTTGCTTGCTTATAGCCGCTTCTGAATTAGGCAAAATGCTTCCTACCACGAATAAATTTCCTGTTTCTAAGTGTTATCCTATTGGGTGATGGTAATATGAATGACAAACATCCTGCTATTTTTTTCCCGAGGAGCTTTTAACCTCTAAAACATATAAAAGGTTTCCGATTGGAACACATGAGCCTTGAAGCTTTTGGTGGTCCATGTCTGAAAATATTGGTGTCCATTTATTCGTTCCCCTTATTAGGTAAAAAAATGGATCCACCCTTATCTTTTTTCAACTTTTATTTGTTCAGTACTAATGGAAACGCTTATGGTCGTGCGGTAGACATCGTAGACTTGCGGTCCTTCGTGAAGCACACTCAACCAGCATGTTGCATGATCAAACACCCGGACTTCAATGAGAGATCGTCAACATTGAAATTCAAAATAATAACTCGAGCACGCTACGTAAGCCACCTTAGAGTTCTGGAAGATTTCGAAGCGGGTGGATGAGTTTTACCTCATTGTGATCAGCGCCAGGGATTATTCCCGTACAACGAATCCATTTTATTCTCCCCGCTTCTTTCACCTACTCGTTCGATGAGGGGTATTTTCCCAGTCCATTCAATACAAGTGCAGGTGGGCATTTTCTGTTATGGGTATGATCCGTCCTGGGTGTGATCCACAATGTGGGAGACAAAATCATTTTCAGACCACTCAACTTGGCGTTTCCTACTGTGATAGTATTTCCCAAAAATTGTAGCAAGTTTGTATTTTCGGGTAGCGCCTGTGAATGTTTACTTCTTCGAATTCATGAACAACTAATTTGGATAAAAGCAGCAAAGAGTGAGGCGTGGTATCGCAGCACAGTGTTTCAGAGGTGAAGCTCTTCGCATCATATCATTCGAAAGCGAACGTTTGCTTCCCACAAAGCAGTCATGTGGTTCATGGATTCCAGAATTTTTACGTGGTTTTTCATTTCTTTTTACTGAATATGCCTCACTCCGTTTGAGCGCATATTCTCATTTAGGGTTGATGTTCAGTTGGATTCGCCAAAAGTCATTCCACGCATGTACTTTTCACTGACTTCTGACGTCCAGGTGAGTCTACATTCAATTTCGGTTTTCTCTTCTTAGCTTCTGCATAAACATACTACAAGCTCATCGCGGTGTCTACAGAGCGGAATATTTCTGGGTGTACTAAGCGTTAATGACGCATTTGCACTGCTAGTGACTCCAAGTAGCACTTTTAGCAAGCAGTGGGCTAGAAAATCCATTTGATGCACCATGTACTGAATTTTAGTGGCGAAAAGTTTATTTTGGATACTGAATTAAGGTATTCATCTACATAGCTTGGACAAAGTACTGCCGTTTGGATGTATACTACAGTGACCATGTTGGTTTTGAGAGAGTAATACATTTAAGCCTAAAAGCGACAGAAAAACTAAGTGTTTACCGTGATTTTCTGCCTAAGTCTGAACTGATGGGGCTGTCGTTTTATTTCGCCCTGAGGCATGGGGGCGAGCTCACACTCAGATACTCAAAGGCAACCAGTCTTCAAACCCCGGGCATAGGAATACGCTCAGATACGCCTTCAGATACTAATAATGGGCTCATCTCAAGCTCGTCCCAGCTGTGTCCTTGACACATTTATTAAGTGAACTGCTGTGAGTACTATTGTCTGAACTTACTGGACAACGAACGTATCGAAAGCTTCCGGATGGTTAATCAAACTCAGTTGTATAACTCTTTGAAAACATTACAGTGTTGACTGGCGATTTGACTGGCTGTCAGCGCTTGTGTATGAAAAAATCAGCGTAATAAGTCATCATACAACTAGCATTTGTGAGCCTCCTATTTTTTTCGTTTGCTTTGCTTTTCGACAGGGGTCCATAAAACAATGTGACCCGCAATAATTCTCCGTTGTTTCGAAAGAATTCAATTTTTTATTTCTATGGCATAATCTGTCTGATTCTTGAAAAACAGAAAAGCTGATTTAATCTCCTCATTCCGATTGATGTTATGATCCCCTGGGGCGTTTGCCTAAAATAAAATGCGGTTTTAGACTTTTGTGTTCGGGAAATGCCATACCCACATTTTCATCCCACAGATACAAGTGGGGTTTCGCTCACTTGTTAACAGGTAACCGGTTAGTTATTCACAAACCACGTACGTTTAGCTCGACAGACTGAAACCGTCTAATCACGCATTTGATGAAATCTGAAAACTATAAACGAACGTGTTTACAAGTCGCACAGTTTCTTTTCGCCCAACTAATGCAGCATAATTTAAGCAACGAAATTTGTTTTCAACTTTCACTGGAGGGATAAAAATGCGTGCGCATAAGAGGATAAATGAGACGTGAATAAGTTACATCAGTGAAGCATTTTGTGACGTGTGCAGACAAAACAGAAGAGGGGCAACCAGCACCACCTGAAATCAGTCCACTTCATCAATTCACCAGAAATAACCGTTCATTATTTCAGTGCGATTTGGCGCTTTCTTTCATTCTGATAGTCTTTAAGTCTTGTTGCCGTCCGTCTTCTGCGTAACCTGTTTATTTTTTTCATCCCAATACGCACCTGTCTGATCTTGACAGGTACATTCTTTGGGGGAGAAAGAAATCAGGTATTGATCAGCATAGTAGTGTGTGTGTGTGTGGTTCATTGATCTAGTCGTTATGGCTATGTTTACACGGATAAAAGCGGATATTTGGCATGGCGCTGTGCGCAGGAAAGTGAATTGTTCAGCTGTTTGTTGTTGAATACATGGCATGAGTAGTATTTGAATTATTGATAAATCTTTTACGTTTGGCTATTCAGTCTTGGGTGGTGATTAATCTATTTCTGACATTTATTTCAATCCGGTTTTCAAAAAGCAGGTTTTCTGACCTGACAATTTCTTAAGCGGACTGGCCACATGTGATTTCTAGTTTGATTAACTTCAATAAGCCTATATTCCGTCAAAGATGATGGCCAGCATGAGGTTTTAAGCTCCGTCCATTTCCTATCGGCCAGAGTTGGAGGACAGTGGCTTGGAGTCCTTGCAGCCATTTATAAAGCCCGTTGATACCAAAAAAAGTTTTAAAAATCGGCTGTAAGAAGCGTGCGCTTGTCGTACAGTGTCTCAGTCTCGTCCACTGATGATTTGAGGAGGTGGGATAGATAGCCGTGCATTGGAGACGGGAGCTGATAAGTTGGTGTGTAAATACGGACCTGTCAGTTGACTGTTAAGTTGGGGAATCCAGAAGGGAACTATGCGTTGTGGGCAATAGCTTCGATACATGAGTGCCACTGAAGGTGTGACTGCGCCATGTGTGACAATGTCTCTAATCATTGAAATGGCCAGTCTCGAGGTACCCATCCGGGGAGACAACAATGACCAGCGCAGCTGAGTTTGCTGGCGATGGCTTCCACACTTCACTGCCAAGTCATTGTTTGAACTGACTTAGCTGGTTTCAACCATCGGCGTGGTTATGTAAAAAGAGTCCTTCAAGGAAGTCTGTCCCCTGACATACGGAGCACGTGGCTAGCGCAACCTGTGCAGTGTGGTCAGTTCATATATCGAATACCCGAATACCATTCGACGTAATTCAGCACTGTTGATCAGGTGCTTCCATCCGACTCCGGCAATGTTCCGAAAACATCTATGGTCAACCTCTGAAAGATTTTTGACGTCCCCCACGCGCAATGACCAGGTTTCTGACCCGTATAGCAATGTGGATCGCACCGCGCCATTGTAAACTTGATCCGTGACAGATAACCGGCTGTCACGTCTACGCCACAGGTGACAAGTTCACAGAAGCTCCTCTGGCCTTCCCAATCCGGATGGAATTTCATCTTTCGCCAGACCACCGGGATTGATACAGCTGTCCAGGTATACAATTTGTCTACTACATCAAGCGGCTTATCCGTAAGCACGAGTCTAGGTTTCGAGCCCACCCAGTCTTGCTGTAGCACTATACACTTCGTAGATGTGAAGCGCATAACGAACAGTGTGGCAGAATTATTCAGATTATTTAATATAGTTTGCATTACTAAGGCGTCAGATCCAGTAACAGCTATGTCGTCTGCGCACCCGATATCTGTGAGCGGACACCCGTGAGCACTTCGACTCCATAGCCATTAGTTGGTGAGTCTTCCAAGATCGCATCAAAGACAAAGTCGAAAAAGAATGCTGAAGGAAGACAGCCCGGCGTAACTCCGCTTGAAGCGGTGACTTTGGGTGAGGGCCTCTATTAGACACGTCCGCTGGAGTTGGCGTGCTGCATATTAAGGAGGGTCAATAATTTACTGAGGACACCGCTACTCTCCAGACATTGCCATGATGACTGACGGTTTCGCAGAAAAAAAGCCCTGATGGCAAATTTAGCTGTGCTGTAACTCATCAAAGAACCGACAATTGTGGGGAGAAATTGCACAGACTTGGCATATAAGATGACTATTCAATATTGAATGAATCGAATGCGCTTTTCATAGTGTGGCACTCAATATCAACTTCCGATGCTTCGTCCGACTGAGAGTTTCTAAATACAGACGTCTTTTCACCATCCTGTTAAGGTTTATCGTTTAATACCGCTTGCAAATTTTTCTGAGCATTCTTCTGCCCGCCAGCTCCATCGACGTTCCAGACCCCCTGCAATCGAAATTGACACGTAGCGCATAAACATTCTGTCGGATGTTGAATGGTACCGGTAATTTGTACTAGAAAGCGGGCCCCGGAAAACGATAGATAGGGTTCATTAGTACTGAGTGCAAAAAGAGCGCCAGTTAAACATCAGTTTAGAAGTAGCTTAATTAGTCAGGGTGTAAAACTCTGTATCGTTACGTTTGCTGAGATTGACGAATTACTTCTCGTTTTGTTTCGAGGGTGATTTGAATCATTTGGCTTGTCCGTTTTTGTTGTTGGACGTTAGCGTTTACGGTTTCCTCGAATAATAAAGCGTAGACAGATTCCAGATTTGAGAAACGTGGTACAAATATGGTGAAGACAAATTATTTTCTGTTTCTGTTAGCGGCGGGCTCCACACGAAGACACCTTCCCAGGTTAAAGGAAAGCGCAACCTCTAACATACACGAAACCCAGTTGATTGCCTCCAACGAGATAGCGTACTTTTGAAGTCGAAGACTAGATATTTTAAACAGATGGACATGATTGATTTTAGAAAACCTCTACACTATCAACTGTCAATTTTATACTGGACTGAAAACTTCGATGTCCGTTCTCTCTACGTGCATTTTAAAATATTTGAACGTCCGGATTGGTGAACGGAAACGCTGGATAATGGCTTGCCTCTCTCATTCTGGAGAGTATACGTCAATCTGAATAGATTTGTGTATCAGATTTTTGTGGTGCAATAAAGCGGTCCCAGGGACACTATTCGTGGGGAATGTCCGCATGAGAGCACATCTGGGTTGTCTAGACTCATTCCCTGCAGTTCAGTGTGACTAAGTTTGATTTTAGTGGCGC